CCTCAGTAACAAGTTCGAACGTACTAATTAATAAAACAACATTCAACTTAGAAAATGAATCACTAAAAATGGGGCCATCTGCGAATATATACAATCCAACACTGAAAATTGCTCATTTTCATCTTGATTTCACAGGTAACACCCATTTAATTTAAAATTAACCTGTGACTTTCCATTATGAATACAATTATAGTTAGTTTTAATGTTTCTTCAGTTAATTGTGTAATAAAATTTGACCAAAACTTGAAGACGCCTTTCTTGCCCTCTAATGCGACTCTGAAAATCCTTTTATTGAGGATTTTTGAAATTAATATTCTATCTTGGTAAGCCTAAAAAAAAGGATTGTGACAATCTGCTTGGGCCCCGTTAATTGGCCTTCTCTATGGGTTTATTTTAGGAAGGAATGACTCTCAAGTTTACCAAGTACTTACTGCGTATTTGACATCCTGCCAGAACTTTCCTTCCTGTCTGTTCGGTGATCGCATGGTGCCGGGGGTGGGAGAATCTTAAAGACGGCAAAGGCCCGCAAGCTCGCCCGCCTTTGGGCACGAGACACTGGTATACACGCCGTGGGGACCGTGGCCGGTGCCCCCAGCATCTTCTTGGTTCCAAGGCACATTTAGCACGTGGACTTAGGGCTACCAGCTCTTCTTCTTTTTTTCTTTCAAGAGGAACAAGAAGTTAGACTTTTGTGAAGTCTCCTGTTTGCTTGGCCAGCTCAAGACTGAAAAATAAATAACGTAAATAATGTGCAAACCAAACAAGCCGTTTCCACACACTTGGTGTGACCGCCTGGTTCCAGGTTCGGGACCTGTGACCCAGCCCTGTCTGCTTATGTAGCTTGCCTGCAGTCAGCGGCTCACTTGGGGTCCACATGGGACGGTGGCAGCCATTGCCGCTGTGCCCAAGTCCACGTGATTTGCAGAGCACACGGGGACCAAGCAGGCACACCAAGGCCGTGGGGAATGGGCAAGACGCTGTCACACGAACCTATGGCAAACCTCGGCAGTAGTGTCAAAAAAAAAAACCCAAAACAAAACAGGGGAAGCTGTCACGTGATGACCTTCTTTTTTTATATAACTCTGTTGGGTGGGCTTTTTAGTCTACATTTTGTTTTGATGATTAAAACAGCAATCCTTGCACTCCCACATAATGACGATGTGAAGTTACGTGACGTAATGCGTGACTACCTCAAGGACAGTGCAGAGTTACCAACCCAGTCTGAGGTGCCCCCAGAGAGTGAGTTCTTGCTCTTACCTCACTAATGAAGTGCTCCAGTTTAAACCTTGCTACGAGACATGCAATGCAGTTAGCGTCCTATAGATTGTGGTGTCTTTGAGGGACCAATGTTTATATTAATTAGGCCATGGCTAAAGTGACCTCTAATCCTGACATTGTCTTTGACAACCTGAGCCAACCCTGAACTGTGGTTATAAACATAAAAATCAACCTGGTCCACAGAGGGAGGGTTGGTGATTTCTCTCTAAATGGGAGAGGAGTCGGTGTACTTTGGCACAGGGTTAAGGTGCCTGGGTGACCTCAGGACCGGCATGGGGCCAGGCACAGAGCCGGTGGGACCCTTGCTAGTCCCCTCCCCCACACAACACACGAGGTCCCTCTCTGGACTATTCCAAAGCACCTTCCTACACCTCCGACAGGAGCAGGCGGGGCGCCTTCAGCACCATACAAAGACTCAGGGAGACTGTAAGACCCAAGACGTGACTCTGGCTGGCTTGTCCCATGGAGAAAATGGCAGCATTTCTATCAAGATAGGAAGTGAAGTTCAAGACGAATATTAAGTGTCACAAATCTTACCGCTGACCCCTCCATGCAGCCGTGCTCCTCGGAGACAAATTCTGCCAAACCAAACCAATCTACGCAGCGTGGGGAAAATCCTTGGCCCCTCCTCCCAGCCCCTGGGGAACCCCTGCCTAGTGGAGTCATTGGCATAAAACACAATGATTTAAACCCAGGCCTGGAAATAACTATTGTCAAACGATGCTTATTAGGAAAACACTGAAATGAGAAATTTAAACACAAACGTCAGCGTTGACGGGCAGGATACGTGTTATCCGTAAAGTACGGCAGAGTCCCACAGCTGTTGTGCTTTACTTCCCAGGATCTGCGAGTGGCCCGGAGAACGTAGACAAAGGGAAGTTCCATGAGTCTCACAGCGTAAATCTGTAATAGTTTCCGTATCACTTCTACATATTTCAGCAGCCTAGTGATTAAAATATAGATTTTTTAGCAGTAATGGGATTAATGTTAGTAATAGCATTTTTCATTTTGAATCATTTGATTAGATCCAAGTTTAATATTGCATTAAAATTTATAGATATATTTTATAGATATATTTAAGTAGTAATTCATAAGACTTTCATTATATAGATAGCTCACTTTGCATATTCTATTTTGCTTTGTGAACTTAAGATCTAGATTATTTTAAAATATAAAATAGTTTTTTGCCTTGGCTGGTGTGGCTCAGTGGATTGAGCACCGGCCTGTGCACTGAAAGATCACCCATTCAACCCCCAGTCCAGGCACATGGCTGGGTTGCGGGGCCCGGTCCCCAGTTGCGGGTGTGTGAGAGGCTACCAATTGCTATTTCTCTTCCTCTCTTTCTCACCTCCCTTCGCTTCTCTCTAAAAATAAATAACTAAATAAACTCTTTAAGAAAAGAAATAAAATATAAAATAGTTTTCAGATATCTCAAAAGCTTAAGGATTGTCGACATAGAGTATGTGTAATGCTGATAAGGGTTGCTTTTCCTATTATTTCATTAACATTAATATGGCATCCATGTCAGGCGGGGGAACTCTAATTATCTCAGGTCTAGCGCCTGCCTGGGAGCGTTTCTTCTCAGGTGATGCTCCATGGCCCAGCTGTCCTCTGCTAAGGGGCTTCCCAGTGATCGGCGCCAAAATGCGGGCGTGTGTGTGGCCACACAGAGACCTGCCCCAGCCCACCCCCACCCCCTGTTCCAGAGCCTCCCTGGTGGTTCCCAACACAATAGCCTGTGGCCTGTCTCTCCACCTGCAGAGGTGGAGTCCTGGTACACGGAAGGGAATCTAAGTTGCGTTGTCAATCTATACAGTCTGTTGATGTTTTTACATCATTAACATTCTTTCATAAACATCATTTTTAATGACTGAGAAATGCTTTATGATGTGGATGGGCTATAATTTATTTAATCAACCTATTCTTGTGGAGCTTTTTTCTCTTTTTAAAAAATTGACAACATCCACTTAGGTGAAATTTTTGCATACATTCATAATCATTTTGTTAGGACAAATTCCAAAAAGTATAATTTTCACATTAAAAAGAATATAAAATCTTGACATATTTACAGAAAGGCATGTGACCACATACTTTATATTCAGACTATTCATGTCCCTAAGCCCTCAACAACAGGCAGTATTGTTAATACTATTTCTTTGTCAGTATCATAGGAAAATGGTCCTCCACTGTTTTAATATGCACCTCTTTGGTGATCACTGAGGTAGAATTTTTTTTTTAATGCTCCTGGTTATCTAGAGAGAGCAATGCAGGGGGGTACTTTCCGGAAAGCAGCCCCACGCCGAGGAAACTCACTCCGTCATCTTGGCTCTGCCCTCACTCTAGCTATACACGGAGGACGTTGAACTTAGAGAAACACAGTGTCTAGTCCGTGCCCTGAAGGGAGCAGTTCAAACACCAATCAAATTTCTACGTAGAATAAAAAATAATTAATGTAGTGAAAAATCCCGAGTCTAATAGTCACAAGTACACACAAATGGTTTAGACAACTTCATTTTCTCCTCAGGCTATAAGGTAAAACACTCATCCTACGGGCCCTCGGGTGAAGTACTACATTTTAAATACATTTAATCTTTTCACAAGTTTACCTTTTTTTTAAAAAACATAATTCAATTCAAATACGACTTGATCTGAAAATATTTTGACTTATCCCTGGCTTTCAGATACGTATGAAATGATCATTTATGTGAAACAGGTCTGTTAAATCAAGAGACTTAGAATGCTCTTGGCAGAAAATGGCACCGGTTAAGGCTGAGGTGCCCACTGCTGGGTGACAGATCACCCCGCCCGCCTCTAGTGGTTTAAGGCAAACACCTCACACATGTTCTGAGGGTCACAAGGCCGTCAGCAGCTCAGAAGGGGGGCCTGGCACAGGGCCTTTCCTGAGGCTGCCATGGAGCGGTGGCCAGAGCTGCAGCCTGAGGACGTGACAGGGGCTGGAGGGGTCCCTCAAGTCCCTTCCTGGGGTGCTGGCGGGCCTTCGATCCATCCTCACCCCTTGTGGGTCCGCAGGGCCGCTGGGCACAGACTGAGAGAGCCGAGAGATAGATAGATGAGGCGGTGGGGGAGAGAGGAGGAAAGGAGGCAGCGGAGAGGGGGTGTTCATTAGAGTAAATGGCAGTACTTTAAGTAATCATTTACCGTAAGCCACTGGTCCCAGCTTAGAGTAAGTGACGTCCGTGCTGGGCACATCAGCGGCCACACACGCCTTTGGCCCGGCAGCGGCCGTGTGTCACGCTCCGAGCCGCCTGGTCTTTAAATGGCTAAATGTAAATAGAGTGTAAAAGAATTTCCTAATGCTTTATTTTCTCAAAAAAAATACCTCCATCCTCAGTGTTACCTTGAGAACTTAAATCAAATTCCTCTGTTCGTTTTAAATGGAATGAAGAAGTGTCAGTGGGTTATTATTTTAAATAAATGCCTGATTATTTTTTATGTATGAATCTTCTTTGCTTCCAGTACTTAGCTTTAATGATAAAATTCTTTGTCGCTCTTTATTTTTCATTTGTATGAGGCTTCGGCATGGCCTCTTCCCCTCCGGAGTGTCCGATAGCGGCTCCACCTCACTTGGAGTACTAGTGTCATGGACTCGCGAGTCATGGTTCTGTAACACCTTTAATGAGGCCTATTTTGGTGTAGAATTTCTTTTTGTTTTCTTCGAACAGCAGAGACATAACCGATTGCATCATCTTATCTCATTCCAGGTCCCCTAAAAACCCAGGACAGAAGATCATTAAGAGAGTGATTGCGCTGGAGGGAGATATTGTGAAGTAAGTGCTTGGAACTGTTGTTTGTGAGGTCAAGTTCTTAATGCCTGTGTTTGTGTTGGGTTCCACATCACAGTGCGTGGCCCGTACATTTCAAAACGGACCAAAGCTTTGGAGACGCTGCAAAAGAGATGGGGCGTTCCACTGTCTCAGGATGTAAGACGTGACATGAACTTGCTGGTCCTGTTAGTGTCCTTTCACTGGGAGGCACAGCAGAAGTAAACAGTAATTGAACTGAAATTAACCATGTTTTCCAAAATGACCATTAAATCTTGGTGTTTCATTTATGAAAATTAGCATGATTGGTTTCGAGTATGATGGAAAGGTTCATGTCAGAAACACTTGAGAACCTCTGACTCTTTCAGGAGCAAATGCAGAAACTAAAGGGAGGTTTTATTGTTATAGAGACTGAGGAAATGGGAAGAAATGTGAAACAGGCTTCTGAATCAGCTGCAAAAGAGTGGCTTTAGGAAATAGCCTTGTAGCAATTGGGTATTTTAACAATATGTACTAATGTCTTATTTATGCTACTGGCTGATAAATGTAGAACAGTGTTTGAGATTCAACAAGGAGGTTGATGTGGCATCTCAGTTGCTGCTTGTTTTAAATAAATTGTAGGCAGATGTATAAAAGGTGGGAGTCCAGGCGCTGGTAAAACTGTATTCAGAAAGTATTCGGATCCTGTTTTTTGAAAAAGCTGGACCCTAAAGTATCTGTATTAACGACAGCCCAGATTAAGTAACCTCACACACGGGGGCCCTGGCAGGCTCCAGAGCACAGCAGAGGCCAGGCATTCTCCAGGGAAGGCCGAGGTCCCTGGGGGGTGCGGACCACTGTGCGGGTCTGCGATCCAGCCCCTTTCCTAGTCCTGCTCAGAGGGCGCTCGCCCTTTTCACGCTCGTTTCCCTGCGTGTCCGGTGGCGTTTTCCCGAGGCTGCGTGAGGTGTGGGTGGCCGCAGACTGACCGCAGGGGTCGCGGCAGACCGGCGACTTGGGCTGTTTCTTCTGCCGCCAGGCACACTCACATGATCGGCAAAAATGTTTAGAATGCCACTCTTCTCACTATTTTTTCTTTCGTTTCAAAAAATAAATATGCTTTTCACAAAACCTATATTTTTCCTGCTAACATATAGAGTTATTGTTCTTTTAGGTGGACTCACTAAGGATTTTTTCCATTCTCCATTTTAATTTCTAATAATGGTAAATATCGGCAGGCAGTATCCACGTACACAAAACTACTTTGAGACCTCAATTATATTTAAAACTGTCAAGGAGTCCTCAGACCAAACAATTGCCGAGCCTGCTGATGTGGAACGAGTGGCCCCAATTTTCATGTCAAGATGACCTGCTCATCAGGAGCCCGCATGTTGTCAGCGGGGCTATTGAGGTGCCATTTGTGTGGGTCGCATTTGTGACTGCTTGCTTGGTCTTCTCTTTCTTTTAAGAGCTTCATTAACATGGTGGAAAGTCGGCTTGAAGCATTGGTTCAGAGCATTCAGCCGAATATCCCTCAGATTGTAAAAGGGGAGCCTCTGGGAGGTCTGAACTATCTAACTTTATGTCAACATCGATTAGAATCGCGAGGTGATGCTTGGTGCCCTGGGTAACCTCGCGAGGAATGCAGTCATTTTCTGACGCTCACCCCAACGCGTGTGCCTCTCTGCAACACGGACAGCAAGGAGCTTACTGAAAATGATGTTCAGACAGACCCACTAGTCTTCCCAAAATATTTTTCATAGTTCTTCGCTTTTTCTTGTTAATTTGTTATGACTCACACAGAAGCACTAGAAAAGGATAAAAAGAACCCAGCGTCCCAAAGTGCAGGCAGTCACTGTGAGTGACCCACAACTGGACTTTCTAAGGCATCCACAGTTTTCACTGGGACCCTTGCATTTCTGCTTCCCGATTTTGCCAGGAATGAGGTCTTGTGTCGCGTCTCCCCTCGCTCAGTGAAACGCACTCCACAGACGCCAGGAATCTGGGGTTCTGTGTAGGCAGCAACCTTAAATGAAGAGAGCGAAGAGTCCTTTTAGTCCCCAGTGAACAGGGTGCCACAGACTATATCGCCTAAAGTAGGACATGTTTTGAGAGTAGAAAGGGATGATTTTAGTAATTGACATAAACTGGACTTCCGAAGCAGGCTGCTACAAATGGTCACCCTCCCAGGGAAATGTAATCTACTTTCTAAATCACTTCAGCGATTTATTGTGTTTACACCGTGACCCCGCGCGTTGGGGGGAATCCCCAGAAGGGTCTTAGAACCACTCCCTGGCTGCAGGGCTGGCGGGGGCGGTCGGGCAGGATCACTGTGGAGAAGCGCGCCCTGCTGCCCGCACAGACTCCTCCAGCAGGCGCGGAAGTGTGGAGTAGCCGCAGGTGGAGACGCATGAGGATTCTCTCGTGGTAAAATGTTTGAGTGCTCATTCTTCAAGTCCAGAGACTACTGGAAAATGTCAAAACGCCCTAATTCATTAAAAATAGCTTTTTCATATTAGCGAAAACAAAATCCATTGACTCACTAGAAATTAAACACTGAAAAGCTTGTTGATTTTAAATATGCTATTGAAGATACAGAAATCAATATTAGCCCATCACAGATGTTTGGATAACATTATGTTCCAGCAAAAGATGAAGCTTTCTTTATAGGAAGGAAAACAGAACCAATCTGAGTTTTTCCCAATGTAGCTCACTTGTTTTTTTATGGCTCTTACTGCAGCTTTGAATAAGAGAAGCCTAGTGTGTCTACACTGCTGTCTTTAAGGACTGTGCCTTGATGTGGTAGGTCAGGAATTCATGCTGTCCTAAATGGAAGGACAGAATAAACAAGAAACTTGGAAGAAAAAAAAAACTAAAACTACTTGTGTCGAGGACCTTGCAAAAGATTGGAGCATAGAATGTTTGAGACGCCGGAAGCTGATGGAAGCCGGGTGGGCAGTTGCATTCGCGGGGCCTCGGGCAGTGGAAACTAGAACCAAAAGTTTTCAGAAATCTGTGAGGCCCTTTGCCTGGTTTAATTTGAGCCCTGCCTTTTTCCATATCAAATTGTGGTGGCACATTCTTCTTTAGTACTTAAGGTCTGACCAATGCGATCCTTTAGTAAATAAGGGCCTTAGCAGTGAAGTTCAGTGTCCCAGCGGCTGTCTAGCGGTCTAGTTACCACTAAATCAGAAGCAGTTGTGAAAAAGCATAAGTTTTCCTCTAATGTCAACCAGAAAAATTATTCATATCGTCTGGACATCTTTACCTCCTTCTTGTGAAAGAGTAATTAATTGTTGTTTTACTAAACAATTATAGATTGGTTGGTAGGGAACCCATGCCTTTTTGGAAATATTTCTTCCTTTTATGTAGTTGGAGGTGATTATTTATCACACTGCTGCTGCATCAGTGAAGAAAAATGGAATTGCTAATGAAAACTGTCTGCCTTAGCAATAGGTATTCCTTACTAAACATCAGAGCGACAGTCACCTTAAATTTATATGTAGGAGTGATAATCTTGATTTTTTTTAACTCCAAATTATTTCTGTAATAAACTGAATGGTGTAAGGAGGTTTCAGAGGTACCACAAAAAAGACCATGTGTCCTTCAATGGAAGGAACCGTGACAGCTGCTGGAAGTCACTAGGCCTTTTAGATTGAATCGCTTTTTCCAATGATGTTGACGTCTATTACTGGGGTCTCTCCCCTCCCCCTCAGGGGGTTCTCTGGTTTCATTTTCTACCTTAGTCTCCCTATCTCATGAATAGGATTCTTCTGTAGCTATGTAAACCTATATTTACTCATCACGCCCAGGCATTTATCCGTTTGGTTTGGCGTGGAGGTCGTGAGCACCACCTGAACATTCAGGCTGCCTTGACTCGGATCCCAGCTTTGCCATGCCAGGTGTTACTTTACCAAATCACTTCACCCTCTAAACTGAATGTTTCTCACTTGTAGAATGGAAGTTATAATAACACATGTTCCATAGAGCTTTCTTCAGAAGTATGTGAAATAAGAGATGTAATTTGGTTAGCATGGTGCCTAGCATCTAAGTCTGGTTTCAATGAATATCAGATATTATTACTAGTAGACATCATGACTTAATCATTATTTATTGAGTGCCTTGGGTGTTTACTATGAGCTAGACAGTGTGCTGGGTTCTGGGGTTATAAACATCAAAAGCCACAGTCAGTTCTTGTCTTCTGGAGCTTTTAGTCTGGTGGAGAAACAGCCAAGGTAACAAAGACATGCTGTGCCACACGAAAACAGCCACCAGGGGGAGTGCCAGCAGCCCATGGAGCTTAGGAAGGGGAGCATCTGGTCAACCCAAGGAGGGGACTGTATTGGAGGCAACTTCTGGGTTCAAATCAGATGAGAAGGGAATGTACAGCTTCCCCCTTACCTGTGAAAGGATGGCTTAGGATGGAAATTTCAAACACCACCAGAGCCTCCAAAGTAAAGAGGAAGGGTTCCTTGACGTCCTCTGGTGAGGATCTTTCTACTTTATGTGTCATGGTGGGGGATGGAAAGGATTAGAAAAATATTTATCTAATGGCAGATTTGTCTTTAAATATTCCAAAAAAGAAAAAAATATATATACTTGAGATGTATCTATAAGGATTGACGTTTCCCGACGTGTATAGTGTGCTGTTTTACTGGCTGTAGATATTTGAAAGCGTGGCAGTCCCAGAATGCTGCTTTAGTACCCAAATCATAAGTAACAGTCTTAGGGGTTACGTGCACAAAGGTACCACAGACATATTACTGGGTAGCAGTGATACCTGGACAAACATTTATAGGAAATTAAAGGCAAGAACATGGAAATGAATATGAAAACAATGTCCTTGTTCTTTAATATATTCATATTAAACTCAATGTATCTCCTTGCTTGGCTCTAAAAAGTGGTGCTCTGTTTGTAACTCTGATGCCTTTGGCTAAGCGTTTCTTCTGTCTTCTCAGCTGGCTTTGGGGCTTGACTTTGGGAGTCCGTTTCCTCGCAGGCGCAGTCTCACGGGGCGCTGGCTGGGC